CCCCCCCCCCCCCCCCCGCCATCCCCCCTCCTCCGATAAAAACCTGTTCTTGGTTTCAGGCCCCTATATTCCCGGCCCGGTACAACGTCGTTTGGGCTTTAGGGTTCAGCCCCTGTGTAGGAACCAGCTGCAGAACCCTTAAGCCCTTACGGAACCCTAAGACTGACAAAGCCCCCAAGCGAGTTTGCCAATTAAATGGCATACCATGCCAGTCGGGCAAGAATCCCTGCATATATGTGTGTGCAGCATGACATTAGCAACCCCAAAACCGTAAAACCGCCACGTGCACCTACATGCCGAAATCCTACCCACGGCTTTCCCTTGATCGGAAGAGGAGAACCGACTGAACATGTCAGTTTCCCAGCTCTCGGGCGAAGCTGACAAGGCGTTACTCTCAGATCTCGTGTGGATGCGGTCCAGGGTTCAAGCTGAGATAGGCGCACACAGAAGAAGCCTGAGGAGCTAGCTAATACAATTCTTCAAGCTTCCTTAATCAGTATTTCGCAGAGAAACTCAAGTCCCGGCGCCGCAGGGCCTCTATAAGTAAGTGCAAGGTTTTACCGGGCTGTTACAAGGCCCACATAAGCCCTAAACCCTCAACACTACATGCAAATCCCTGGGGGTTTCCCGGAGACCATGGGCAGTATAGCAGAAGAAGTTGTTGCAAGAGCTCAGAAGTACCGCAAATACCAGTGATCCTGCACTTACGCAACAGAGCTATACTATTCGGAGCGTGTTGTCTTCGCGTGTACTTGTAGCTGGGAAGTGCGCGCAAACATGTTACCAGTAGAAAGCAAGGTTTAGGCAGGCTGCGAACAAGGACAATATGCAAACACTCGAGGTTTTGTCTTCTGGGAGTGGGAGAACATCACGAAACCCTGGGTTTCATGGTGTATTCGCAAGAGGGCGCCAAATTCATTGGTAGTTACAGCACTTCGTACACCTCGACAAAAACAGATCACCCCGATAGTCGTGGTTACATGTTGTGGTTCGGTCCAAAGTTATGGGTTTCGTCTGCTGATGCCTGAAAGAAAACATGCAAGAGTCCGAGGTTTTGTCGTGGTACTTCAGTACATGAGGACAACCCAGCGTTTCATGGTGTATTTGCAACAGAGTAGCAAACTCAGTGGTATTTTATAGTGCTTTGCACACCTCGAGAAAGACAGAGTTTGCAGATAGACTTGGTTTTATGCGGTTGTGGGGTTTAGAGTGTATTAAAGTTTCGGACGGATTCAACCATCCGACATCATCATCATCAACGTCATCATGACCAACATCATCATCATGAACATCATCATCATCATCATCATCATCAGCAGCATCATCATGTCGCCATCGTAATGGCATGACCATCATGTCAACATCATCACTTCGCCATCGTACTGTCGTGATCATCATGTCGCCATCGTAATGTCGTGATCATCATGTCGCCATCATCGCGTCGCCATCGTACTGTCCCCTCTGATCACCCCCTACCCGTCTGCCCCTCAGCTTCGCCCAACATCCAAACAAAGGTCCGAAATCCATCCTCCGACTTCCTGACTTCCTGAACAGAATGTTGTTGCGGGGAAATTCCCGGGACAGACCACCCTAAACCCTAGAACCGAGACCCCAAGCCCGAAACTAAACCCTCAACCCTATACCCTAGCACCGCTTAGGCGTGCGTGGAACAAAGGCTCCCTCGATTGAGGGTTTATGATGGAGGGTTTAGGGTGTAGGGGTCGGGGTTTAGGAGTTTGGGGTTTGATGGTTTAGGGACCCTAAACCCTAAACCCGAAGGCTTTAGGATTGAGGGTTTAAAGGTTGAGCTTTGTCGGAGGCGACCAACCTCCAGGAAAAGATCCGGGACCTGGAGCAGCAGCTGCAGTGTGAAAGATGCAAGGACTCCTTGAAAGTTGGGATTCAAGGGTTTTAGGGTTTAGGGTTAGGGTTTAGGATTTAGGGGTGTGGGAGTTGTTTCTCGGTTTCGAGATAGTAGGGTTTTGAGTCCAGGGGCATGAATCGTTTGCTCATCGAGCGGCTTCATGAGGTCAGAAGCCTGATTCATTACTTCCTGGATGCTCCTTGTCATAAAAGAATACAGTCATACGCAAATAGACCCGAAATCCTTATGAAGATTGTAGTAAAGGCCATTATATTGGTTGAAACAGCATTACAACTACGAGCAGTTTTCCTCAGCCTGAAGCCCCCATGACATCAGATCTTCAGTTTCAGCAGCAAGCCCGAACCACCATCGATCCCAAACATCTGGCAATTGCCGACGGCTAGGAGCTGCGGCTTGAAGTTATGAATTCGAGATTCCCTGAACTTGCCCTCATTGTGGACCAGCTTGGGAACTTCATTGGCTACATGACTTTGTACCACAGCGGTATTCAGAGCCCATGCTGCTGTGAGGCTTATGGCCGCCCTAAACCCTAAACCGTAAACCCTAAACCTTAACCCATGAATCGGGGTTGCGGATATACGATTTTGGGCTTCAGGACTAAAGACAGAACTCTTTGAATCTTACGAGTGGCCTTGATAGTTAGAAGAGTGCTTGGGGCTTGTGGTGGTACTCTAGGGGCCTCAATAATTACCTACATTATTCTGGGGGTTCCTTATCAAAATCAAAGATTATAGTATAATTTACCCCAAAGAAAGCCCTATTCTAATTATTAAGGCCCCCACACTATACAAACTGGAGGGACGGCAGGGGGGTAGTATTTCCAGTTCGTAAGGCCCTCCCTCCCTGGGACGCATAAAGCAACCAGTACAGTAGCCGGTATGCGGTATGCTTAGAACCCCGAAATGCCCTAAACCCTATAACTCCTCATGTTGAAGCGCTGAGCCCGAAGCCCTAAGACCTAAATCCCAAGCTTTAGAAGGATGAGCCTTTGACGCCGGTCGTGCCACGTTTCGCTGCCAGAAGCAGTGCTCGCGCCTTTCGGGCGTGATTATCTCAGGGCTTAGCGTTTTTCAGTCTTTCAACCCCAAACCACCCTAAACCCTTGTCGAAGCATTGTTTGCGCAAGCCACGTGAAAATTCAGGGTTCTGCATGTTTTGGGAGCTGGGGTCTGCCCCTGGGGTTTGGCGCCTGTACCACAGAGGGTTCCGGACTGTACTTGTACCTGTGGGTAGAGCATTGCTTCGTTTGCTAATCCAGTCGGGGGGTGAAAGCCTTAAGTCATGCTTCTTTCGTAGGTGAAGTCGAGGCTGTAGCTCTTCCGGATCTTCATCTCTGGAATGCAAAGGGCACCTCAAGTTGCGCTTACCCCGTCTACCTCGAGATGATGATCATGATCACCTTCATGATGCTGACGGTCATGGTGTTGTTGATCCCTAGACCCTAAACCCTAAACCCTAAACCCTTAATCCGATGACGGTGGTCATGACAGTTCTCCGAACGTTCTTGTATAGGATCCGAAGTCCAGGGCCGATGCAGTATGCGTCATCGCCATCTCAAGCTCAAAAAAGGGGTAGCATGGAAGCCTCCCATGGTGCGGTGGCTCTCGCTGGGCTCGTGATCGGGTTGTGGCTTCAGGGCCGTTCGTCGGAGCCTGAGGCTGCTCGGCCCTGCTCGTGTCATTGCGCTTGTGCCCTGCCAGATAAAGCATCTGGTGACACTCACTGGCTTTGGCTTGGGGTGTTGACCATTTTGCTGCTGCTTGGTGCTAATCTTGCTCTGGTCTGCAGGGTCTCGTTCAAGAAAGACGATAGCGGTGCCCAGGAGTTTACCTTTTCATTGAAGGGCAAACCTGGGAAGGGCCTGTACGGGGCCGGCAAGGGACTGCAGATACTTGATCAGTGAACTCCTGTGCCTTCATGGCCATGAACGGTGGAGAGATCGCCTACCTTCGGTACCATAGCGATCCTGGCGTGGTGCACACCAGGTTGATCGCGGGGCGGGTACAGGACGACGAGTACATGATCATAACGCCCGACCATGACATCTACGTGGAAGAGCTGGCCATGCACAACCCGGACCTAGCTTACTTATGGA